CGACGACGACGCCGCCGACGACGACGACGACGACGACGACGACGACGACGACGACGACGACGACGACGACGACGACGACGACTGCGATGCCGACGATGAGGCGGGTCCCCCCGTGACCACGAGGGCGCCCCCCCCGAGGCCCGAGAAGATCCGCATCCCCGGAGTCTCGAGCTTTGCTCGAAGACCTCGGCCCCTGCGCTTGGCATCGCTCGGACGTGTGCATTTTTCCTTCGGCGAGGACCATCGAGGAGCATCCTTGATCATTTGGCGAAAAAACCACGCACGAAACCGAACAAAAACACAGGGAATGGACGTCCGAGCGATGGCCAGTGCGACGCATCCCCGGAGCCTCGAACGGTGAGCGAATTCCCGGAGCCTCGAGCGTTGATTCGGGGGCGGCAAATAGGGGGGTGATGACTAGGGGGGGTGGATATCATGGCGGGGGCCATGATGTTTCCCCAGATATCATGGCGCCTCTTCTTATTTCATTACGTCCCTGGCCCCCCCCGCTGGGCCGCGCACATGCCGCCGGCCATGATTTGCACCCCCCCCTCTTGGACGCCCCCCTCTTCCCCGCCCCCGATTGATCGGGGGTGGACAGACCTCCTACCCTGACACGTCGATTCGCGAACTGGCCGCTGTCGGTCCGCGGGAGGGCGTCGCGGCCGTCGTTTCTGCGGGTCCAGGGCCGTCGGTTTCGGTCCCAGGCCGTTTTTTTGCTAAAGGGAGGTTTACGAAAGGGAGGTGCGTCCCCCGCCGAGTTGATCGAGCCTCGATCGACGATCGATCGATCGACCCCCGAGCGGCCCCCCGTGGCCCGGGCGGGCAGCCGGCCTCCCCGAGGGCGGCGCGCCCCACCGCCCCGCGAGCTGCCGGGCCGCCCCGCGCTCGGCCCACCACGGCGGGGTCGAGGCGCGAGCGTCGTCGTCGTCGTCGTCGTCGTCGTCGTCGTCGTCGTCGTCGTCGTCGTCGTCGTGGTTGTTGTCGTTGTCGTTGACTTCCTGTTACTGAAGAATAAGTATTGTTGATCCCCCCCTCCGGTGACCATTGTGCTTTTTCAACTGAGGTGCTTCCCCCGGGGCTCGTACCCAGCTTTTTATCCGGGGAAGTCACTAGGCTCAGACTGGGACCTTGGCCCCCGAGTTACAGTAACATCGGTTCTCGCCTGATACTTCCTCACAGTTGATTCCCAAAATGCGCTCTCGCGCGGGTCTTCCTCACAATTCATGTACGCATCGCGCTCTCGCGTGCGACTTCCTCGCAATGCAATTTATTCAGACGATGCGCCCTCGGCGCTCAGGTATCACGCTCTCGCTTTCGCTTTTCTCATGATTTACTTGGGAGTCGCGCTATCGCTCGAGACTTCCTTGCGATCAATGCAAAACCCACGCTTCAGCAACCCGCCTCCTCGACCTCGTCGCCTTGGCCCGCCTTCCCTACTTGCCCGCTATGGGTCTGCCCACCCGATCTGCCCGTCTGAATATACCACTTGTTTTCTGCTCGTTGCCCCCGTCTTGCTAATTTCTCTAGTGCTCCATTATTCTCCCTCCCCATTCCACCCGTCCTCTCTTCCCTTGTACGGGGCCCCTACTATGTCTCATAGTAGGGAGTCCCTACTGCGTCTCATGATACGGAATCCCTACTATGAGTCGTATTAGGGAGCTTTTATGATGAGTCGTAGTGGGGAGCTCCTACGATGAGTCGTAGTAGGGAGCTCTTACTATGAGTCGTAGTAGGGAGCTCCTACTATGAGTCGTAGTTGGGAACTCCTATTATAACTCATTGTAGGGGGTCTGTATCATGACTCATACTGGGGAGCCCCTTACTATCATCCCTGTCAGCTCCTATACGCTCCCTCTACCATCCCTGTCGGCCCCTTATACACTCCCTATACCATCCCTGTCAAGCTCGCTTCGCTGGAACGCACATGCTTTTGGTGGTCCAGGGAGCTGTTTAGAATTCCAATGACTCCAGTGCCTTGGTGTGTGTGTGTGTGTGTGTGTGTGTGTGTGTGGGTGTGGGTGTGTGGGTGTGGGTGTGGTGTGGGTGGGGGCGGGGTGCACGGGTCCCCAGTGTAGGCCTCCGCCCCCTGGGCGGAGTTTTGAACAGGACTCCCGTGGGACGGGTACCCAGTGTAGGCCTCCACCTTGGTGTTGTTGTTGTTGTTGTTGTTGTTGTTGTTGATGATGCTGTCGTTGTTGTTGTTGCTGCTGCTGCCGTTGTTGTTGTTGTTGTTGTTGCTGTTGATGTTGCTGTTGTTGCTGTTGTCGTTATCGACGTCGTCGTCGACCGATCGTCGATTGAGGACCGAAAAATTGATCGACGTTCAAGGTTTTCGGGCCTTTTCGGTCGGGCCCCGGGGGGCGCCCTTGTGTTCACGGTGGGATCCGCCTTGATCTTCTGGCCAGAGCGCATCTCATCAGAGGTTCGCTGGTCGGTCGTCGTTGACGTCGTCGTCGGCGGCGGCGGCGTCATCGTTGGCCTCGTCGTTGTCGTCGTCGTCGTCGTCGTCCGATCGAGGACCGATCGACTGGTCGACGTTCGACGCTCGAGGTTGTTTCTGGCCTTCTCGGGCCTCGGGGGGCGCCCTCGTCCACGGCGGCAAGCGCTCCGAGAGTCTGGCCAGAACGCACCTCATCAGAGGTCGGTCGGTCGTTCGGTCGGTCGCTCGGTCGATCCATCGTCGTCGTCGTCGTCGTCGTGGTCGTCGTCGTCGATCGCCCTCGTCGATCGATCGTCCATCGAGGATAAATCAATCGGTCGACGTTCGAAGCTCGATGCCTTCGGGCTCTTTCGGGTCTCGGGGGGCGCCCTCATGGTCATAGGGCGATTGGCCTTGAACTTGCGGCCAGAACAGACCTCAGATCTCATCAGATGTGCGCGGGTCGGTCGTCGGGTTTCGATGGTTTTGCCATGGGAAGCGCGACGTTCCCGCACCAAAAATCAAGGGACGCCCTGGCGTCTCAGGGTTGGGTTTCTCGTGGAAGGTCTCTTGTGGACGGGCCTCCGCTGTGTTAGATTTTTGGGTTGGGGATCGGGGGGAGGAGGGTGGAACGGTAGAGGGAAACAATTAGTGAACACCCCCCCTGCCCCCCAAACTCAAAGTTGGCACGCGGGGGGGAGACTGCGGTCGAGGTGCAACTCATCAGACCCACCGCCAACTTTGAACATTGGGGGAAGGGGGAGGCGTTCACAGATGAATGTGGCATGAGTGTTCGCTAATTTTTTCCGAGGCCTGAAGCACGCGTGCGAAGAACAGCGCGGCGTGGTGGTGCAGCACCTCGTCGATGTGCGGCTTAAGCGGATGCATCGGGCCCGCCGGCGGGAGGCCCTGCGGACGCGCCGGCCGGCGGAGGTGGCACGAGGACGATACAGTCGAAGCGTTGACCTAAGGAACCCTAAATAAGGAACGAGGCCCCTTTTCTCCAGAAGTTAAGCTTCGATTCCCCATCGAAAACAGAAGGGAAACCTTAGGCAAGGTGTGGAACAATTAAGGAACATCGAGCCCCTCCCCAACGAAAAGGGTTCCTTCTTCAGGGCCCCGACTGTACGCCAACACGTTGGGACGTAGGGCCGCCGGCTTGGTCCAACCCGGAAGCGTTCCAGGCAGGGCCTCGCCTTCGAGGGTAGGATTGCAAAAAAAGGGTTGCAAAAAAACGAAGGATTGCAAAAAGGATTGCAAACAGGTTTTGTTTGCAATCCAAGGTTTTTTTTTTTGCAATCCTTCGGTCGAGGGAGCCGTCTTCTCCTTGGCGGGAGGCGGCGGAGGGTCGGCGGAAGTACGGTGGAGACCCATGCCAAGAAGCACCCTTCCTATGCCTCCAGGGTGCCCTGGGTTTCTCGGGTTTCAGTGGTTGTTGCCATGGCAAGCGTGACGTTCCCACACCAGGAATCGATGGACGCCCTGGGGTCTCAGGGTTGGGCTTCTCGTGGAAGGTTTCTTGTGGTCAGGCCCCCACTGCAGAACGGCGGCGGCTCCGGGCGGAAGCCGGCGGAAGGGCGGCGGGAGCGTGCGGAAGCACAGGTCGGCCTCCCAAGAGATGGCAACATTTTGGGGCTCCGGGCCTCTGGAATATTGGGTCTTGCCAGTTCTGGGGGCGTGTGTCTCTGTGTCGGGGTGAGGCCCTGCCCGCCTGTGCTCTGTCTCCCCAAGGAGAGCCTTGCGCAGCGCGCCTAGCTCTCAACCGGAAGAGGCCCGCTCTCGATCCGCAGACCCCAAAAAGTCTCTGTGTCGGATTTGCCGCCGCCCGCCTGTGCTCTGCCTCCCCAATGAGAGCTTTGCGCAGCGCGCCCAGCTTTCGACCGGAAGAGGCTCGCTCTCGACCCGCCGACCCCAAAAAAGCCTCTGTGTCGGATCTGCCGGGTGCAGATCGCCGAAGACTTCGCATCGGGCGCCCTGCCAAAGACCGCCGCGGGAGCCCCGAGGGGGCAGCCGACTGCACCCCGCCGAGAGCCCTCTCCGCCCCGCCATGTGCCCTCCTCTTCCCCCGCCCGCAGAGGGCACGGCGGAGGTCCGAGGGGCCCGGGCTCCGCTGGCCCCGCACGGGGAAGGCTGGCCACGGCACTCGAACGCCCCGACGCTCTTGACGCCGCCCTGGCAGAGGCAGAGCCGCGAAGCGTGCTCGCGTGTGCCCGGCAGCCCGGCGAGCAGAAGCAGGTGCTGCCTCCAGCGGTGCCCACCCCGAGAACGCGAGGCGGGACCCCAGGGGAGCACCACCACCCTCGGGGCCTGGCGGCCACGGCATGCAGGCGTCCCTCGTCGAAGACACGGGCGGGATCCGTCGGGGGCACCAGCACATCGTGGGCCTGGTGGCCTCGGTACGCAGGGCGTGTCGTGGCGCCAACATCGCAGAGCGGATGTCATGCGGAAAACGAGAGGATGGGCCAAGAGTGTCCTGGTGAATTTCGTTCCGGATTTCGAGGTGAATTTCGCGCGGATTTTTTTTGGCCAGGAATGAAAAACAAAAATAATCCACGCGAAATTCACTTTGTTTTTCGCTCGCCGCTTCGGGCAGAAATCCACAAGAAATCCGCTGCAGCACGCCTGCAAGGCCGATGCAATGAGGCGTGCGAGACAAGGCGAGGCGGGGTTGAATCTACCAGCCCCAATCCGTCGGGTTGGAACGAATACCCCTTGCAAGTGGCGGCAGACGACGACCAAGACACCCACTCCGCGCCATGGAGCACGCTCTCACTCCGACGCCGCCGCCGGCGCCGCCTCCCACGACGCCCCGACGCCGCTCTCTCTGTTCGGAGGGGGGAGATGCGACATCAACACCACCGGGGGGCCCACCTCCAGCGAGGAGGTCCACGATGCCTCCCCGAGCTGCAGGCTGGGGATGTCTCGAGCGAGAGGGGGGGACCACACCACCAGGGAGACCCCCCCATTTGCTCCTCGCATCTCCTCGCCCTGTTGGTGTTGGTGTCGCCTCTCCTTGTTCCTACTCTGTCTCTCTCTCTCTCTCTCTCTCCCTCTTTCTGTGGCGGCGCCCCCGCGACGACGCCGCCTTGTCGCGCCTCCGCCGCGGAGGCTGGCGCCGCCAGCGCCAGCGCCGAGGAGCGCCCGTGTGCCGGCGCCGCCGGCGCCGCGCCTGCCGCGAGGACGGCCGCTCTCACCGCCGCCGCCGCCGCCTTCCCTGGCGCGGCGTGCCCTCTGTCGGGGGGCCCTCCTCCTCCTCCTCCTCCTCCTCCTCCTCCTCCTCCTCCTCCTCCTCCTCCTCCTCCTCCTCCTCCCCTCCTCCTCCTCCTCCTCCTCTCCTCCTCCTCCTCCTCCTCCTCCTCCTCCTCCCCTCCTCCTCCTCCTCCTCCTCCTCCTCCTCTCTCCTCCTCCTCCTCCTCCTCCTCCTCCTCCTCCTCCCTCCTCCTCCTCCCCTCTCCTCCCCTCCTCCCCCTCCCACTCCTCCCCATCCTCCTGCTCCTCCTCCTGCTCCTCCTCCCTCCCCTCCTCCTCCTCCTCCTCCTCCTCCTCCTCCTCCTCCTCCCCCTCCTGCCCTTTCCAGGGGGTTGGGGGTGCGTCCTGGGGCCCCGAGCGGGGGAGAGCATCGTGCAGAGGAGGTCGAGGTGCGACATCGAAGAAGAGGAAGAGGAATAGTAGTAATAATAATAATAATAATAATAAGAAGAAGGAGGGAATAATAATAATAAGAAGAAGAAACGCCATATGGACATCATGTTTTTTTGCGCTCCGCGCGGGTCTCCGGGATCCGCGCTGGGCTCCCCCTGCGGCGCCTCCGGCGCCGCCCCCGGCGCGCTCCGCGCGCCAGAGTGGGCGGTCCAGCGCAGATCCAAGAATGCGCGCGGAGCGCCGAACGTTTATGTTCAAGCCGTTTTTTGTGTTTCTTCTTTCTCTTTCTTCTTATTATGATTACTATTCTTATTCTTATGATTATTATTACTACTATTATTATGCTTCTTCTTCGTCTAAGAAAATAGTAGCTTGCCTTCTGTGGGCCTCCTCTTCGTCCCAGCTTGGAAAAAACTGGTGCTCTGTGACCCCGGGAGGGGTCCAGGGGCCGACTTGAGCCTCCGTTGTCTCAGCTCTCCCTTCTCCGAACTCGCGGCTTGATCGAGGACGCGTCTCAACGGGGTTTGGGATGCCTGCCTGCGTGCTTGCTCCCCACGCCCCCCCCCTCTCCCCTTCCCCGCCGCTCCTCCTCCCGCTTTTGCCCACCCTCCTGCTGCTCCTTCGCTCCATCTGCACCTTTCTCCCGTCCTCCCTCATCATCCACCTTCTCGTCATCTTATTAGCATCCTCCTCCTCTTTCTCCTCTTTCGCTTCCTCCTCTGGCCTCCTACCCCTCCTCTTCCCCCTCATGCTACTGCTCCTGCTTCTCCTCCTCCTCCTCCGTCCTCCTCTGTCCTCCACTCCTCTCCTCCTCCACGGCAGAACACACAAACGTTAAAAGCAGGAGGAGAGAAACGATGATGAGGAGGAGGAGAAGGATGAGGAGGAGGAGGAGGAGAAGCAGAAGAAAGATGAGGAGGATGATAAAGAGGAGGAGGAGGAGGAGAAGGAGCAGGAGGAGGAGGAACAGGAGGAACAGGGGAGTAGGAGGAGGAGGAGGAGGAGGAGGAGGAGGAAGAGGAAGAATTTGGAGCAGGATGAGCAGGAGGAGGAGGAGGAGGAGGGGGAGGAGGAGGATGAGGAGCATCTGGGCTCAAGGCCATTTTGGCTCATGGTGAAGCGCTAGGCAGCATATCCCCGCATAACCATCCAGCACACAATCAGGACTAGATTTTGTGTAGCTGTCACGTTCTTTGCGGGTTGCGGTGAGAAGAAGGATTTGGGAGTGCAGGTGCCAGCGATCGAGGAGCCGTCGGAAGGGAGCGACCCAGGCGCCCCTGGACGTTATGGACCAGATTTGCACGCTGTTCGAGGAGAAGGCAAATAGCATCGTCGACTGGCTCGAGACACGTACACCTTAGGCGATGCTTAAGAAAACCAAAATTTTCGGCCAGAGTCTCGATTATTCTTAACGTTTCAATGTAAATCCTAAGATTTTGAAGGATGTATTGGGTTTTTATTCAAGTTCTGAGACTAAGAATTTCTTAACCCATGATTTCTTAAGCATTTCGCAGGGTGTATGGCCAAGAACAAGGAGAGCACCGAGGAGGCGCATGAGCGGCGGGATGACCGGGATGCCCGTTCGAGGACGGTAGAGGCGAGGGTCGCCTCTGTCGGGGCTCAAGAGATGGGGGTCGGTGCAAACGGGGATCAGCCAGAGCGCCCGATGTTGCAGGATCCTGCAGGGCCAGGGTCGCACTGAACCGGGCTTGGGTGCAGGATCCTGCAGGATCTGGCATGATTCTGCAAGGCTTGACTGACCCGGGTCTGGATGGACCCAGGTCAGAAGCTCCCCGACTCTGGCTCGGATTCGGGTTCGGACCATTCGAGCTTCGTTCCCAACTACATCGAGGTTGAGAATATCTTCGTTTTCTACGAGAAGGGGAGAAAGGGATGAAAGGGAGTAGTAGGTAGATCGTTGAGCATCTACCTTGCGTGATCAGTTCCCTCCGAGTTTGCAGCCTCATGCCAAGCTGTCCATCTCAAGGGTTTCGAGGTCCACAATTTCAAGACCATTGTCGAACCCAGCTTCGCAGACGACGCCCCGTCGATCTTCACAGAGTTACTCAAGACCCATTCCACTACAGTCGGCCTTGATTGGACAGGACACGCGAGAGGACGCAAGATCCTTGCGGGCATGGACGATTTAGTTCGAAGCTGGTCCTCCCGAGGTTTTGGCTTTGTTTCTTGTATTTGCCAGCGGCTTGCGCGCGTGTCATGGGCAGACATTGTTTCCATCGTGGCAGCGTCGTCTGAACGAATGCTGGATATTTGCCAGGAGCTGGCAGGTTTCGTCTACGCGCTCGAGCTGTAATGGGATGAGGGCTCCATGCGGTGCATCCGCGGGGGCCGAGGAGGTGATGGAACCAGAGGGTTGGCCCTGGGCGCGCCTGGCAACGTCGCTCTCTCGCGCTGAAGCGAGCCGACCGAAGGACGTTCTGGCGTTCTCCGAGAAAGCCAGGGCTCGAGCACGTGCAGTTTCGATCATCGCCTGCTGAGGAGTGAATCATGTTCAATCTGGCTGATTTCCTAGGTCCTTGGACGGCTGGAGGCAAGTTCTGGGCTTGGTGTTCAGGGCCTGCAGCTTCGTTGCACGCCTGATTATTAGAATGCTGCCCGGTCATTCGCCCTGGCGGCGGGGCGCGAAGCAGGGAATGCGCTGCGTCGGTTTGGATCGTCGAGGCTATCTCGAGCAGGGGAGACTCGGGCCATCGCCATGGGGGGCGCAAGTCGCGCCCCCTGGATCGAGTCGTTCCGGTCTGAGGCCGCCGCGCGGACGGAGTGCCGGGCGTTTGCGCGCTGACTCGCGGGTAGATCCGGCGCGCGCGTCTCGTTCTATCGCTGGCTAGCCTTGACAGAGGGGCCCTGCAGGGTTAGGGTCGCATTGGCCCGAGCTTGGGTGCAGGATCCTGCAGGGTCTTGCACGATCTTGCACATCCCGATTGGATTCACGCGGGTCAATAGGTCCCCGGCTTGAGCTGTTGTCCAAATCCAAGGCCGAGGAGGAGCAGGTTGCATTGAATTTTCTCTCTTAGCACTTTTATTGCTGGAAGCGCCCCATCGGAAGGCAATCGCATGAGAATCTCCAACAGCGTCAAGATGCAGTTCTGGGGACTTTAACGCCCCGAATCGATGTGACTGATTCGTCCAGACAACCTGTAATCTTTCCAGAACACCACCTTGGGACTTCAGCGCGTGGTATATCGAAGCAAACGTCACTGCTGCTTGCTGACAATCCTGAATCGCGCCAGAAAGCCATCCCTGGAATTTTAGCCGCACGCCATGCGAATCCAACAAAAACTGCTACACCTTTTATAAAACGAGCGTGCGCGGCGCTTTTGCGAGAACCACATGTTGAACAGGGGCGGTCTTGCATGTTCAGACTTTTTAAACGAATGTGCGCGGTGCTAAGGCGAGAATCAGGGCGCTAAGGAGACGGCCCGCCTTCTATCTTTGAAATTGATGAACACATTTAAGAATAATGCGCGTGGCGCCTAGGCGAGAAACATATTTGAAAAGGATCCGCCCTCCGTGTGTGAAGCTGCTACAATATGTTAACACGAATGCGCGCGTCACTACGGCGAGAACCTCATGTTGAAAACGGCCGCCCTCCAACATTGAAGCTGCTTCGCAAGTTTAAGAAGAATGTTCGCGACCATTTGGCGGGACCCTGATTTTCTAAACCACTCGCCCTTCATCCGCGAACCGGCTGCAACTTTCAAACTTGCGCACCATGAGTTGCGAGGACAGAACAAGCGAAGCGCCTGGTCCACCCTACCGACAAGTCCACGGGTGCGATGGGGAGGAGGTATTTTCAAGGAAAAACCATGGATAACGCTAAGGAGGAAGGAGGAGGAGGAGGAGGAGGAGGAGGAGGAGGAGGAGGAGGAGGAGGAGGAGGAGGAGGAGGAGGAGGAGGAGGAGGAGAGGAGGAGGAGGAGGAGGAGGAGGAGGAGGAGGAGGAGAGGAGGAGGAGGAGGAGGAGGAGGAGGGGAGGAGGAGGAGGAGGAGGAGGAGGAGGAGGAGGAGGAGGAGGAGGAGGAGGGAGGAGGAGGGAGGGAGGAGGAGGAGGAGGAGGAGGAGGAGAGGAGGAGGAGGAGGAGGAGGAGGGGACGAGGACGACGACGACGACGACTACGACGACGACGACGACGACGACGACGACGACGACGACGACGACCACTTCCGCTTGGCCGCGCCACGAGGCCACGCGCCGCGCCGGCCGCGGCCCCCGCTGCGCCGGCCAGCGCCTGGGACAAGGAGGCGCCCCCCCCGACGGCGGCCCGGCGGCGGCCCCCGGCGGCGCTCGGCTCGGCCTCGTCGTCGTCGTCGTCGTCGTCGTCGTCGTCGTCGCCGTTGTTTGCCGTGGCCGCCCTCGTCCTGCTGCCTCCTCCTCCTCCTCCTCCTCCTCCTCCTCGTTGTCCTCGTCTTCGTCGTCGCTCCGCCGCCTCTCTCCCTCCCTGTTGCCTCTCTCCCATCCTGCCGCCTCCCTCCGTCCCTCCCTCCTCCCGCCTCCCCGCCCTTCTGCCCTCCTCCCTCCCTCGCTCCCCTCTCTGGCACGAGGGCACCGGAGGCCCGAGGGGGTCCCCGCCCCCGTCACGCAGGGTACTCTGGGGGAATTGGGGTTGAGATCTTGGGTCCCACCACAGCCACCCCCTTGGCCAGGTCCCTCCCTCCGTCCTCCACTCCTTCCAGCCCCCCCTCCCACCTCGCTGCTCCCTCCCTCCCTCCCTCCTTCCTTCCCTCTCTCCCTCGCTCTGTCCCTCCCTCCTCCACGCCACCTCATCGACATGCGAAGCGTGTGGGGTCTTGGAGTTCGCTGTCGAGGTATAGCGGACCTTGAGAAGCTCTGCTCGGCCTCCTGCGCCTGCGTTGACGAGATGTTTTGTTTTCTGTGTCTATTCCCCAAACAGTGCTTGCACCTGGGGATTCTTGCGTCATTTTTCCAGGACCTGGGCATGTTGGTCGGTCTGGCGGCTCTGTGGCCTCCGCCGCCGCCTCGTCGCCGCCTGTCGTCTGGGCCTGACGGCCGGCCTGGCGGCTGTGTGGCCGCCGTCGCCGCCCCGTCGGGGGACTATTTTGGGGCATCTTTTGATTTTTTTTTATTTCGTCCCAAATCCCCATGGGGGGAGACAGGCCCGACCTAAACGTAGCTTCTTTTTGCCCAAAGGATTTAGAGTCTACCACCTCCCACCCCGCGGGGTGAACGGATCATCTTTGCCGTAATGTTTTCCGGGTATGATTCTGCACACTCGTCCAGCCGAATTATGAGTTCATGCCGTCCCAGACCAAGTTCGGTTCTCGACCCTCCTCCCTGTCAAATCATTTTCTGCGCGCGCACTCGTTTATCACAAACCGCAAGTTTTCAATAATCCCTTGCAAACGAAGAGGACGAAGTGAGCACGCGCGCGGCGTCGCGCGCGCATGCAGACATCCTTCAACAATCACAGGTTTCGTAACGGAGCATCCCGTAATTATCTAAGACACATTGGATTGTGAAGCGTAGATTGAAAAAGATTTGCGCGCGCGCTCTCTCGACTTCTTCAGAAAACCATTTGTTTTGTTGTTCCAACTTTTCCATCATATGCGTGCAAGCGGGCCTCTCGCGCGCGCATGTAGAAATCATTCGAACGCCCTTGCGTGCGTGCTGGGTGAGGTGCACGATCCCTTTCAAATAATACTATGCGGGCCACTCGCGCGCGTCGGCCGCGCGACCATGTCGAAATCTCTCCAACACCTTCATCACCGACACGTGGGCACCATCATCGTCATCGGCGTGATCAGCATCTGCGCCGTCACTGCCCTCGCCGTCGTCATCCTCGTCGTCGTCGTCGTCACCAGCATCGCTACTTTCATCATCGTGTCTGCCGTTGTCGACGTTGCCATGGTACCGCGCCCGCCCGAGTCATCGCGCGCGCCATCGCGGTCTCCCAAACGCGGAGGGAAGTGCCCAGCGGTCAGCGCCACCGCGGCCGCGTCGGTCGCGCCTGGCAAACTGGCCGCTCTGCGCGCGAGCCTGCGCGCGCTAGCGCGGCCGCAGCGATGCGCCAGCCAATGCCAAGCAGTCATGGCAATAGCCGCCGCATGGGTTCTGTAAACCAAAGTGCGGGTGGGTGGGTCGGATGGTTGCGCGAGCAGTGGAGTTGACAATGTCAAGTTGGGCAGGGCGGGTTGCACCGCATACATTGCACCACATGGGTTGCGCAGCATAGCTTGCACAACGTAGGGTTCACAACATGTATTGCACCACATCGATTGCGCGACATAGATTGCACCACGTGGGGTGCTCGGCATCTACTGCGCCACGTAGATTGCACCATTGAGACTGGGGTCGCATCTATTGCAACACGTGGAGTGGATAACAGATGCTGCAAACCATAGGGTGTGCCACGTAGATTGGACAACACACATTGCTGCTTGCTAGGAACGCACTGTTTGGGGCCCACTCTGGACAACATTCCTTCCCAGAAAAAAAAGGATTCTCAACCGAGTTTTCCCGTGTGCTGGAGCCGCCTTGGTTCAAACAGTGTCAAGGATAGGGGGGGCCGCGTTTCCAAAGGCGCGTCCGCAACGTGGCACAGCTGCCGAGGCACGCAGTGTGTGAACGCACCGCCTGCGTCCGTCCTCTGCTGGGGTCATGCGCAGTCCACCGCCCATCGCGCACGAACTCCGCGTGCCTCCGGTGCGCGTGTACCTCAAGCGCCGCACAGAGTGGGCGCGCGGCTTGCTCCCGCTCCGTGCCGGGGTCGTGTGGGTCGAACGGCTGATGTCCTACGACCGGGGGGCGCGCGGCTGATTGATTGCCCCCCGTGCGACTCGGCGATCCGGGCGATCCGTCTGTTGCGGTGTGCTTCTCTGGCGAGAGGGCGGATCGTTTCGGGGTATCGCGATCTCTTCGGCACCGGAGCCGAGGTGCAGCAGCTGCTGGACCAGATCGCGCCCACCAACGAGGCGAGCGCGGTCGTGCAGCGGCTGGCACGCCTGGTGATAGTCGTCGTCTTCGTTGTCGTCGCAGGAGGAGGAGGAGGAGGAGGAGGAGGAGGAGGAGGAGGAGGAGGAGGAGGAGGGGGAGGAGGAGGAGGGGGAGGAGGAGGAGGGGGAGGAGTACGACGAGGATTAAGCGAAAGGACGGAAGGCAGGTGAAGGAGAAAGGGGGAGGAGGAGGTGGATGAGCAGCAGGAGCACGAGTAGGGGGGAAGACGCTCAGTTTCGAGGCTGAAAGAAGATCAACGAAAACAGGAGTAGTGAGGGGGGGTGGAGGAGGAGGAGGAGGAGGAGGAGGAGGAGGAGGAGGGGAACGAGGTGAAGGATGAGGTGGAGTTGGGAGGAGGGGGGAGGAGGAAGGACGAGGAGGAGAGTGGGAAGAAGGGAGGGAGGGAGGAGAGAGGCAGGGACGAGGTGAAGGAGGAGGAGGAGGAGGAGGAGAAGTGTGAGGGAGATGAGGATGAGGAGTAGGAGGAGGAGGAGGAGGAGGAGGAGGAGGAGGAGGAGGAGGATGAGGAGTAGGAGGAGAAGGGGGAGGAGGAGGAGGAGGAGGAGGAGGAGGAGGAGGAGGAGGAGGAGGAGGAGGACGAGGAGGATGAAGAAGTCGACGTGGAGGGCAACTCGGAAGCGGGGGGAGGACGAGGAGAGGGAAGTAGGAGTGCTGCTCGAGGATTAGCGGGCACACCAGACAGCCAACGGGCCCCCAAGGTGAAGCAGTCCTTGCGGAGGATCTCTCCGGACGTGGAGGTCTTTGGCTTCGCCAGCGCGGACTTGGTGCGCGCCGCCGCCTTCGGCGTGGCCGTTCCCGAGGTGGCGGCCGTCGTCGTCGTCGGCGGCGTCCTGGGCGTCGGCGTCGCCGTTGGCGGTGACGTCGTCGTCAGAGGTGGACATCGTCGTGCACGTCAGCCTGCAGGCGTTGGCGGGCCGCATGCAAGGACCGGGCTCGTCTGGATCTACCCTTATGTCGGGCGTGTCCCCCTTCCAGGGGGATTGTCGACGAAACCCAAAAAATACCCCAAAAATACCCCAAACAGGTCAACAGGTATTGACAAAATACTCCCCAGACTATTTTTTGATTTTTTTTTGGTGTTTTTTATTTTTCGTCGGAAATCCCCCTGTAGGGGGACAGGCCCGACTTAGATCTACCCCGATCTTTCCCTTCTACCTCCTTCTTCCATCCGCCCTCCACTCGTTCTCCTCCACCCTCTCCTCTTCCGATAACGCTTTCTCGCCCTCCTCCATTCTCTGACTCATCTCGCTCTTTTCCTGCACCCTCCGAGGACGAGATCTGGTAAATCTGTGCTGCATGTCGAGGAGGAGAAGGAGGACGATGATGATGATGATGATGATGATGATGATGATGATGATGATGATGATGATGATGATGATGATGCTGTGCTGATAATGATGATGGTGATTAGTACGATGGTGGTGGTGATGTCGGCGACGATTATGATGACGGCGCTGAAGGTGACGACGACAATGGGGATGATAATAACGATGCCGATGACGATGACGGAGACGATGACGACGACGATGACGATGGCGATAACGAAAACGATGATGATTATGATGATGATGCTGATGATGATGGTGGTGGTGGTGGTGTTGGTGGTGGTGGTCGTGCTGGTGGTGATGATGCTGCTGATGGTGGTGATGGTGGTGTGGTGGTGGTGATGATGATGTTGCTGTTGCTGATGATGCTGCTGATGACAATGATGATGATGGTGATGATGACGATGATGATGATGATTATGCGGTTGCTGCTGCTGCTGTTGCTGATGATGATGAGGGCGATGATGAGGATTAGGATGTTCGTGAAGATGATAATCACGATGACGATGACGATAACGAATGATGAGGACGAGGATGAGGATGACAATGGTGATAATGAGTAATGGTAATGACAATGATGATGATGATGATGATGATGATGATGATGATGATGCTGC